ATAAACTGACTTGGTTGTACTTGTGAAGCGCTTTGGGTTTAAAAAGGCACGCCCAGGTGCCTAAGTCTCTGCGCTTGAAAACGTAATGTTGAAATCTAAAATATAGAAGTTTAGAGGGTTAATGTAAAGAACGTTACTGAAGAGAATCACCTTTTAATCTTCGATTACAGTTTTGGCGCTACGTGGTTTGCGCTTGTGTCTATGAAATCGCTGCATCATCGCAAACACACAGCTGAACTGTAACAGTAATAATTTAACTTGCATACAGTTAGGTATATTTATATAACATGATATGTTGAACATACTCCTCGTTTGACTTTTTGTATACCTTTTGAAACAGTAAATATAAACGAATATTAATCTCTCGTTACGTGACGTCAAGCACTTGTCGAAGTTCCACGAATATTGCTATTGTAATAGTGGTCTGCGTTCGTGGATATATACCAACACACAGACACATCAACGCTACACAATTTTTTTAGCACCGCTTACGTTTCGTTGTTCTGTTTGTTTCCTCTCGGGGTGTGTATTGAACCACCTAGTTCATTCTCCGAAACATACTTGTGAGTAACTATTATCTATTATATTATTAAATATTCTGTTTTTCGTGGATTATGTAAATATTCACCAGTTCTATGAATAAAAAAAGATAAAAACATGTACGAAGTAGCTACACCTTTTTTTGCCATTAAATCAGCTTTTAAGCGTATACTATATAATATTTGATATAGCTCCCCAAAAAGTTACATTACCCTACTATTTAATTGACTGGGTAAATATAAACTTGACGTAGTGAAATTTGAAGCTGTCTTAAATCTATGTTAAGCTTAGGGTTTTCTATCAACTTAAGGATGATTTTCGTTTAACTTTTGATGGGGGAGTACGAGCAACTATAAGAATAGTAAGTAGAAAAGAGTTCGCCAGTGTCGTATGTGGCGCCATCTTTTATGAAAATACTGAAATACTTTTATAATATATACTATGAAATTTTTATAGTTATTGTTGAATTGGTAAGACTACAAGTATTTTCCCAGTCCTTTAAGTATTAGTGTATCATGTGAGAGTGTCGGGTTATCTCTTGTTTGTTTTTATAGAGATGTGGCAACAATTGTTTTCAATACATGAGAAGGTTTAATAACCACCTTGTATGTATAGAAAGCAAGAATGGTAAAATATAAAACAAGATGAGAAAGAGTAATGGTAAACACCCAGAAATTACTGATTGAACCTAAAATGATTCATCTCATTAAAATAAATAAAATAAAATCTATACAAGTATCTTCTTTTTTAGTTTTTTATTATTAATGTATGAATTTGTATTCATTTTAATTAGTGCTTGCACGAATTACTTCAAATTGAACATTTTAAAATATTTTATACTGTATTTCTGTTTAGTGGGAAGTCTTTTATTTCAAAGTAAATTAGTAGACTTAAAAAGGAGAAGTCTTATAATATTATGTACAACATTGCTTGAATTATTTTGTCAGGTGGTAATTCTGAAAATGTTATGATTTTGACAATTCCCTGTCATGATAAATCAGCTCATAAAGCAAAGTGCATTAAAATTATATCAATACAAACTATTAGGACCACAAGATATTGAATAGTTCTACTGTGTGAGACCATAGTTTCTGCCAGTATGCTTGGTAACGATGTTTTGAAAATTAAGTTTTTAAATCTGATATATCATCTCACTTTTTTTAAAAACAATTGTCCTATCGTTCTGATTTTGTGCTGCATCCAAACTTACTTTGCTGTCTTTTTAATCATCAAATTGTCACCTTACTTACACCCACAGAAATGCTTTGTAAATAACAAAACAATTTGGCAGTACTTGTTGCTTTGCAGGCAGCTAGATAATTGTATATATAAACATGATGATGTATAAAATGCTTGGATTAGAAAGTTCAGACATTCTAAAAATGTAGATATTACTTAAATTCATTTCAAAGTTAGGGTGTTAAAACTTAATCTTTTCATTTAATTTGGAGTATGAGGCTCAGGTAACCTAAAGAATTTAATCTCTAGATTTAGTTCAATGAGAATTTTTCGTGAGTGTTGAAACTTAATGGTTTCATTCAACATATATCTCAGTTTGTGGTAGAAAGACTGATACTGTGATATCTTAACTCGGAACTCGTTTCAACAAAAAACTAAGTCCACTTACATTTTGAGAAACATTTTAAGTGCTGCTGAGTGTGAGTTTAATTTAGGTTTGAGTATTTTAATTGCAGCTGAATGTGAGTATAATTTAGGTTTGAGTATTTTAATTGCAGCTGAATGTGAGTATAATTTAGGTTTAAGTATTTTAATTGCTGCTGAATGTGAGTATAATTTAGGTTTGAGTATTTCTGTTGCTGCTAAATGTGAGTTTAATTTAGGTTTGAGTATTTCTATTGCTGCTGAATGTGAGTTTAATTTAGGTTTGAGTATTTTGATCACCAGAGTTTCTTTTGTTCTGACATTTTGTTCACTGTAGGAACTACATAAAAAGGTTAAGATGAAACAGCTGATGAAAAGTTTACCATAATATGTTGTTCCAATAGTGAACAAGATGTCAGAATAAAAAGAACCAATAGTAATTAAAATTCAGTTCTTAAAGTGTAGATCTACAATGTGATTATAAAAAAAAACATGTATTGAAAATTATCTTAAAAACTATTTGTTGAGAATCATAAGCTTTCTTCAAGAATGCCTAGATATGGCACAGGACATTTCAAAAACTATCACAGAAAGTATGAACTATGCTTTTATCATTTTCTCATTCAGGCCTATCCCTCAATTAAGTTGCTGCAAACATTGTCTTTTCTGGACAGTGTTCATTGATCTTTGCAATAACCTGCATACAGACACTTGTAATCAGTATGTTGAAAGAGAAATAAAAAAATAATGCTAGTTTACAAAACATGTAATTTAGGTATACAAAATCCCAGCACCACATCCAAATATTTTCTTGATAAAATATGAATCTTAATATCTAATGAATTTGTTATCCGATGTAATGTTAAATACAGGGTGACTGTAAAGAAAACTCCCACATGTAAAACGATTACTTGTCCAAGAATTCAATTATTATTCACCTTTTACTAACTTTAATGTTATCTATGTTAACTGAAAAAAATAATGCTATTGCTAAATATTGGTCTATTTATGCTTAAAAAAGACCTAATGGTACCACAACCTAGTTCATAGTTCACTAGTTGATAAAGAAAAAAAAATTGTTTTCTGTATTTTGATCTGCATCTACTCTGAAGGCTAAAACTAGATTTCTGATAAGATTACATGATCATACTAGCACCACTTGCTGATTGATGCATACATCTATATTTGGGTGAATTTCTAGTTGACTGAGGATACAGGTACACCATTTAAGTAAACATTAATAACATTTGTTCACTTAAAATGCACCTTACATGTGATACCATATTTTTTGTTTGCTAAAGTTTGAAGTCGGCATCTAATTGATTCTCATTATTTCATCTGTAATTGATCTATAAGCACGTTTCAGTAAAAACTTGTTGAAATCACAAGAACATAAGCAAGTGAATGACAAGAGACCATTGATTTCATCAAAATTAGTCATAAGTCTCCTATATAATGAAAAAACATAATTGAAGTTTCATTTTTTTCAATCTTTAAACTTGTCTAATCAAACTAATTATCTCCAACCACCCCCATCAAGAAACCATTTATCAGACTTCTTTGTTCTTGATTAGTAAACCAGAAGTTATTCGAAATGAAATGGAGATTTTATTAGAACTAAACTCATTTTATGTATCTAACTCCACAAAAGCATTATTATATGTTTGGTGATCGAATATTTGAAGTACATTAAAAACTTTTGATAGTCCATTGCTCCTATAATCAGTAAATCAACTCAATAATCAGTCAATATACTCCATTTGATTCAGTAAGTTTTGTTCAGTTAAACTTAGCAGCTAATTCAGAAAAACAACAACATATTATTAATTAATTAATCAAAGCTGTTATTAAATAAGCTTTTAAATTTATTCACCAAACTGTAGCTAATCAGCAAATTAAAACAATTTCATTAGCTAATACATTACTTTAACTTGTCAGAAATATATAGCTAAAACAGTCATGGTAATCTGTAAAATTTAAACCAGTTGACACACTGTTTTAATTTGTAAGAAGTTAATAATTAAACAGTCCAGGAAATCCATAGAATTTAAACTAGCTAACAAATGGTTTTAATTCGTCAAATCTGTCTGTCTTGCTTAATTAGTCTCAAATTATTTTGCAAATCTACATATTTTAGTTCCAAATATTCAAATGAATTACATGTAAAGTCACCAATATTTAATATCCATTTTCTTACACACTAAAAATACTTTTTGGACCTCCTTACTCAGAGCTTATGGTATATCAGAGTACTGTCTATTGAAGATTACTGATCAAAAGAAGTATCCACAGTTGAAACAAAAATTCAGTTTTTATGTGTTAAAAACTCCGTAAAGCAGGAAATAAAAATTAATATATTTTATAGTCAAACACCTCATTCATAATTTGTTAAAAACGTATGTTGTACTTTTTTCTAACTAAGATGGCTTAAACCATATGGAATAACTCAGATAACATAAAAGTCCCATGACTAAAGCTTCCTAATCACTGGAAAATAACAATAATAAGGTGACTTCTAAGCAAAAAATTTTAAAAACACCTCTTAAATGAAGCAATATTGTAATTACAATATCTGCTGTTAATCAGGTAAGTCATAGTATAACAAGAGTACTTAAATCAAAGCCAGTTAGTTACATGAGGGCACAATGACAAATAAAGAGAAAATGTTTCTTATCCACAGTAATTTTATCTGAAAACAAACTTATATAAAACAAAATTAGTTATATTCAATTCCTTTTATCCACAGAGTAAAGCTTAACTTTCTAACGAAGGTTAATACCTAAATGTTCAGATTTTAGAAAAGTGTGTAGATTTTGTTTTCATTTTTTGAATTCAATTATTATTCAACATCATAACAGGCTTTAGCACAGTCTGTGTACCCTCAGCTATCTGTTGCAGTCTGCCCAAGTGTTCCAACTCAAAGTCTTTATTCTTCAACTGGTGGAAAAAGTAGTTACACCACGATGTCACAATCTGTAAGCATAGTTTAGATTATAGAAAGTTAATAATATGGTATATTTCAAGTCAACTTTAGCACAAAGTTTGAAAAACCGGAATATAATTTGTTCGATAATTTAACAAGCTACAGTTTTTATAAGAAAATGACTTTAATCTATCATTTTAATAGACTATTTGTTTATTTCTAAATGTTTATGAATGAAGTAACAGGTCATAATTTATTGTACTTGTTTCATGTAGTAATGTTATTTTCCATTTATTTTGTGTGTAATGTTTAAAATTTATATTATTAGCTTATAAGCTCAACCTCCACAATATACTGTATGTACTGGAGATATAGAATTTAAACCTGAAAGTCAAAGCAGTGACACTTAATTCAAGCGACCAGTTTAATTCAGTTTCTTATTGTAGTAGAATTTATTGTATCATTTGGTTTCTTTAATTATGGTTAAATGTGTTTTTCACTTTTGGATCTCTACTTTACTGTTGGAGTCCCTTTTTAACGTGATATGTTTTCCAAATATTTTCAATATAAGTAGTTGTAATAAATGATATGGAATGAAAATTAAGTTGTTTTTTTTTTGTTATGTTTTTTCGAGTTAAAAATACAAAGAAACAGTGATTGTTTCTCTACACTGAATAGCCCTTTGGTTTAAATGGAAATTGTCAGGATTTATGGAAAGTGTAGCAATTTCTCAGAAAACTTTGAACAGTAACATGTCACACCAGACATATTTTTTGATAATTCTTTGAATTATTAAAACTCATGGCTCATACTGATTTTGTAGCAACAAGGCACGGTTGTACCAGCCCAGCCGTTTGATCCACAGGCTGATGCCCAAACCTTACGAAAGGCTATGAAGGGTTTAGGTAGGTAATAGTAGCATCTATTTCACGTCCACAAAGGATCTCAAACCCTATTTTGTCAAAAGTATGTCATTTATTACACTAGATGCTCAGAAACATGACAAATAAGATGATGCCTTTTCTTTCATGCACCACTAACTCATCCATTTTATATAATGTTCAACTGTGCAATAAGGAACATTATAAAAATAGACTTAAGACATAAATGTTAACTATTTATGGCTGAATCTTTTAAATTTGCCTTTGAACTTTAATAAAAGATTTCTGAATTAGAGTTACTACCTGAATACTCCCTTACCGAGCACACCTCACTGTTTGAGAGGCCATGCTGTAACACTTCATAAACATGATATAGTTAGTCCAAATAGTTAAAGTTGGGTTTGAACAAGGAAATGTTGTGCCAAAACATTAATGTTGTAAATTATCATATTTTTTCTCAGATTAATTGGGTAGTAGCTGATTCAAGAAGTGTTTACCTCCTTGTGGATAGTCTGAAAGAGCACATAGAAACTTATCCTCTAATAGAAAATAGTTCAGTTATAATCAGCAAAAGATCAGATGGTATGTAACATGTGAAAAGGTAGAAGAGGGAAAAAGAGCAATATCAGTTTAATTTTAATTAGAAAGTAAATGAAAAACCTGTCTCTTTTTTGTACATAATATCTTCTTATCATGTTTTAGCACATGTTTAAAATTCATGCTAGCAGATGTAACTAGAAGGGTTTATGTATAAAAGGAGATATTAATTAACAAACTTAAACCAGAACAGAACAAGATAGATTCAGCAATGAAACTGTCACTAATAATATAAAAATTACATTCAGCAGTAGTAGGGTTTTTGTAGTTAAATTACACTTTTCTTGTATGTCTGTTCATTAAATCACAATTTTGTATTTATATGGTGGACAGCATAAAAAGTTGGTAATTTGAGGATTAAAATATATAAATGGTGAATTTTAAGTCATCAAATACACTAAAAAATAACATTTTGGGGTAATCAGTGCTAATTTATATCAGAATTGTTTCCAATAGCAACCCATGAACCCATTTTTATATCAATCATTTCACAAAGAGAAGATGTGTGACTATTAGAATGGTCTCTAACAGAAGAAGCTATTTTAAAACTTAGAGATAACATCTACTGAAAGGTAGTATCGAAAAGTTCAACCTCATGTCATTTGTTTTTTAAAAAACAAACAAACTATGGCACTTTGATACTTCAGCATTGTGTTTTATTGTGTTATTTATTGTTATATGTGATTGTATTTTTGGAACTCATTTTTATACTAAAAGTATTGATATACTAGGAAATATTTATCTAAGTAAAAGAAAATGATTTGGAAAATCTAATTAATTTGTTATTTTATTTGTATTCTAGGGTATTGGTATCATTTTATAATTAGTTCTCTTAGAACCAAGTTTGAATTTTTTGTCAACATGACTTAAAGCAACAAAAATAAGCCATTAGTTAACATTTGCTTTTAAATTTACAACCTTCCTACTTATCTTACGAACAATGTGAAGTTATGAAACAGCTATCTGTGAGATAATAGATTTATTTCCTCACAATGTTACAGATGAAACATTGTACAGAAATAAATATATTATCCCCGAAATAACTGTTTCAAAACTTCATTTTGTTCTTAGTTAACCAATGTTTCAACTTACATAATCTTCAGAATAAAGCCTTATGTGTCACCTTATATAATATCTCTAGAGTAAGGTATTATGTTTCAACTTACATAATCTCCATTTTATATTATTTTTATAAATGAACAAAAACCTTTAGTGCTTGATAAACCTATAGTAGGTTCACTGTAATTCTTGAGCATTACATAATTTATAATTGTTACCTTGCGATATATTTTTTCACTTTGTTAATTATTCCAGGGACAGATGAAAAAATCTATTATTAATGTTTTAGCCAGACGTGTCAATGCACAAAGACAGCAAATTGCCATTTCTTACAAAACTCAGTTTGGAAAGGTATGCATTTTCTGTCTATTATTATTAACCACTGTAAGAATAACAGGTAAGCAAAAAAATTGTCTAATTCAGTCATTTTAATAAACCAAAAAGGTAACAATCTGTAGTATAGTTTTTTGTATGGGAAACCAGTGAGACTTGCTGTCAGGGTTTTATATGAATAGGGGCCGGGATTCTTTTGCAGTAGGTGTCTGTGACTTGTTGGCGATAAATTCGAACAGTAAACAGACATCACACAATCCACTTGTTTTAAAATAAGATATTCAAAAGAAGTCAAACATGTGTACAAAAGTTTTTATACTATAAGATATCACCGTTGTATCTAAAGCTCTAAGTAATTCTTCTTTCTTGTAAATAGTCCACACAGGCTGATTCAATTACTTTAGAATCTAATTGACAAGACAAATTATTTTTCTCTACTCTGTTTCTTACTATACAATCTGCAATAAATTCACTTATGTTACTCTGTGGGTTACCACCAGTTGCATCCAGAACTTTAAATAATTCTCTCCTTTCCGTCAAAGTCCACACAGACAGGATCAATTACTTTTGAACACCCTTTGACAAGTTGAATTATTCTCTTTATCTCTGTTAAACTGTGAAACTCACTTTAAAATATCTCCTGTTATGGCTAAACTAACAATCATGCTGTCTATCTTCCCTTTCACTAACTTAGTTTTTTTCTGACTGAACTTCACTTGTTGGTTACCACAGTCATATCCAGAGCTTTAAATAATTGTCTCTTTTTTTCATCAAAAGTCCACATGGGCTGGTTCAGTTACTTGAGAACCCAATTGACAAGACAGATTATTTCTCCTATCTCTGTTGTTACAATACAGCTGTGAAACACACTATAGAACTCACTTGTTAAGGCTAATCACTTGCACACTTGCTAACTTCATGTTTTCTGTCACTAATTAATTTTTTTATCTGACTTAACTGTACTTGACTTGTTTGCCTATATATGTGTATATATATATATATACACATTACCCAACTGAAGCCTCAAACTTTCTTCTAGGAAACACTATGATGTAACAATACTCGCATAGCGAGAAAAACTTAGAGGTTTTGAGAAAGTTGATGTCAACAATACTACTAAAAGTGTACTACACACATAATGTACGACTCTTATCGAGTTATGTAATGAAATTTGTCATAACTATTGCCTTTAATATAATTACTTTTAATAGTCTTGTTATGAAAACTAAATAATTCTTAAATATTAAATCACTAAATAAACTAAATAATAACTCTTACACTAAACAGTCTTGTATATTCAAAACTTGCATGCCACCAGCCTTGAGGTATAACTTCCACCTAAAAATCACACGTTTAATGTGAAATGCACGAGCACATGATGACAACTCCTCCTAAGCACTTGCCTAGAAATAACTTAATTTCCATTCTTGGCATTGTCTTGAATGGATATGTTTTTAAACGTATTATTCAATTACATGAGATTAGTGATAGTTAACAAAACTTATATTTCATTCAAGTTTAACTGGTTTCTTTCATTACTAAAGAAAATGGAAAAAAAATTTCCTGCTTACCCATTATGATTTCTCAAGTGACAGTAATAGCCATTGTTCAACATGTTGCGGGTTCCTTCATGCATTATGGGCATCATCCTCCCATCCATTTGGCTGACGTTCAGTTTGAACATGACCAGGATGATGATTATTTTGACCAGCTGTTTCCCCAACCAGAGTTTGCTCTAGGTACTGCATTATCTGTGAAAGAAAAACTTCAACCTTTTAATCTCTTTCTTGACGTGATTTCAGAGGTATGTTCTTTCCTTTCTTTTTCTCCGGTGTATTTTGATTTCACCCATTCTTTACTACACAAAATTCATTCTTAAGATAACTACATCATTCCTTCTTCACTTGATACTAGGTTTCATGCTGACTTGTTTCTTGAACAACTGTGCACCTGTATTCACATGCCTTGTCCTCCTCGCCTGCCTGACTTTTTTTGTCCTGGCTTACAACCATTCTTCATTTCCTTTCCTTGATTCCCAATGTTTGGGACCTCAGTATGTGCTTGGGTGCAGATCCTCTAAAGTCTACTTCACTTTCTAGTGGTCAGTTTTCATGCCTCCGTCTCTTTCTTACTACCTTTCTACGTCACTTCTCATTTCTTCACCTTATTTCTGAGGCACTTCATTGTATTCGAGAAAGGTTTTCTCTCCTTTTTACCACTTTAGCCTACATTACTTGGTTCCTCTGCTGTTGGGATTTGTTGTGTCAGACTGATTTACTAATTAATATTTGCTTGCTTTGTCCTTATTTTGTGATCTTCATTTGCTTGAAGGTTTTTTGGGTATGTTCTTGACTCCCTGAAGACCTGGGTCAAGGCAGTCCAGTATCAGTCCTTGTTGTCTTCCTTGGTTTCTTGTCTTTCTAAACTTCCCCTACTGTTTCTAGGCCTGCTCAGTCCATATCTTCCCTGCTCATTCCAACTTCTTGTCCTCCCACTTCCCAACATTAGGGTCATCACATAACTCATTGGGTCTGGCCCAGGGTCTACCCACCTATCTCATTTTGCCAGCCTTTGACCTTAGTTTTCAGACAACAGATGGGTTGTTTAGGTTCTCACCCATGGCCTATCTTTCCAGTTCTCTTCCTCCTCTCCCCAACCCACTTATCTCAAGGTCTCAAAGATGCAGTCTCATATCTTTTGGCCAAGAACACCATTGAGAGGGTATTTACCCCTACTCTAGTCTCCTTGTAGTACACAAGAAGACTGGGGACTAGTATCCAGTTATTAACCTGTCTTCTCAACTGATTTCTAGTTGGCCTGTGGAGGTTTTTTTTCTGTTATTCATCTGGCCTATGGATGATCAAGTCAGTATATTTTAAATTTGTTACATATTTGATTGTCCTATCCTCCAGGCGTTTTCTACATTTCATCTATAAGAATCGAATTTTCCTGTTCCATGCTCATTGTTTTGGCATTACATATTCAGTTGTGTTATGGGGCCTTTATCTGCCATATTCATGGATTGTAGTTGAGATTCATTTATTACATGGATGATTGGTGCCTCCTCACCCCTTTTCAGGAGGACTCCTTTCACACTCACATTCTACTGCAGGAGACTTCTTGGCTTAATAGTCAAGCATTCTAAGTCTTTTCTCACTCATACCCAATACTTGATACATCTGAGCATGTTCTTCAACTCTCACTTCATTTGGGCTCAGTTTTCACCACTTCGTATATAACACTTGTGTGTCTTGTCACCAAGATTTGCACTTCTCATTTACACCATGTGCAAGAGGGTCTTTTGTTTTTGGACTTTGGCTTTCCTAAAACCTCTTAATCCTTTATGTCACGCATACATGCTCCTCCTTCAATGGAATCTTTCTTTGGATCCATTGTCCACGTTTGTGAAGCCTCCTTTTTCTTCTTCTTTAGGACTTGTCTTGGTGGTTTGACTGTGCCTCTTCCATAGTGGGTACCCCCTTTGCCTAATGACTGGATCTCCATCTTTCCACAGGTCTCTCAACCCTCAGGTTTTTGTTAGGTTTGCTTTCAGTTGGGCACACCCCTCATTGATGCTTTTGCCACTTATCTCAACAACAAACTTCTCTTCCTCTGGTCTCCAGTTCCTCATTTTTTGGCTCTGGTGTTTGATGCTCTCAGCCAGGACTGGTCACACCTTCTTTTGTATGCCTGTCCTCCATTTTGTTTCTTTCCATGTGTCAATGCCTTGACATGTGACACTTCGTGTTGGGTCCTGTTGGTGGTACTTTTATGACCTGGTTTCATCAGCTTCATCATTTGGCATCTTGCTTAAAGCTCACAAATTTTTTTCACTCAGTGATATTACCCCTTTCACTTTCACATGTGAGATTTGTCTGGTCCATCATACAGGGCCAGATTCTCCAAAATGTGTAACCTTTCTTTTTATTCCATTTCGGTTTTCCTTCAACTTTGTCTATCTATCAACAGAACTGGCAACCATACAAAAGTGGCCCACCTTTGGCTTTTTTCACATGATTGTTCAACCATGGATTGTCGGTCTTCACCATAGCTGGTTATCAAATGGCTTTGTCAACTACATTTCAACTTTCTCGTTACTGCCAGGTTTTTTGTTTTTTTTTCTGTCTTCTCCACTTTGTTATGATCTTTTTTTTCTTCACCAATGCCCACATCTGACTCCCATGCCGGACTGTGACTTATATGTGGGTTTACATGCTCTTATACATGCCCCAATTGAGTCATTGCCTTCTTGTTCTTTACACCACTCTTTCCCTGAAGACATACTTCCTGCTCCTTCTTGTCTGTGGTCGTTGTCATTCAGATGTACATGCCATTGATGCTTCTTACACTCTCTTTCACTTTACTTTTTCACTCATCTATACAGACCATGCTTTTCTTCCCAAAACCTTGGTTGTTTAGGAAGGTGGTCATTTTTTCTCTCCTATCTCCCACCTCTAAGCTTGTTCAGACCCAGATCATCTTTGTTGTCCATTTCAGATTGTGTAGAGTTATTTAGTACGAAGTCTCCTTTTTGGGGTTTTCATCCTCATTTGTTTCTGCCTTGGGACTCCTCTTCATCTAGGGACATATTGCTTCCTATTCTTAGTGGATGAGTTTGCCAAATCCTCCATTTGGGGGTATTCTTCCCTGGATATTGAGGCTTGCAGGCTTTTTTCACATTTCATCATCTGTCTCATTCTTGTCTTTCATTGTCTCCAACTGTTGGACAAGATTCTTCAGGCTGGGATTTGGATGAATCCTCCCATGTTTGTCTCCCATTATTTTCATCATCTTGCTGTTTTCTCTCTTGTAGGATCTCAAACCCATCAGGTCTCTATTTGAGAAGGGAAGTACTTTTCTTTTTCCTCACCCTCTTCCCTTTTATAAGATCCCACCAGGTGACTAATGTTGCTTCCCAGGGTATGATTATTTCCCAAATTACACATCATGCCAGGGGTAACAGAAAGTGCTCAACCCATCTGTTCTGGCTTTACTGTCAATATGTGCATTCCACTAGA